TTCCAGTTGAATTGTCTATATGCATTTAAGACATGCACTGATAATGCATGACTGTACAATTACTCATCTATGTATCTCCTCTATAACATTAGGACACGAGGAGTTCTTTGCCTGGTTTATATTAACCACCAGAATATTTATGGCTGAGTGCACTGAAACCAAAATAATCTAAGCACCAACCAGCACACTGATGACTGGAATACTAGTATTTTCAGCCACATACTGTAGACATTATGTCATGCTTTATTTTTACCACCTCCCTCATACAGCTAATGCTGGATATAAGAGTAAATTTACATCACCTGATGGATGATGGGAGGCTCGGGGGTTGCACTGTGAGCCTCAGTGAAGCACAGATGGTGGTGGAGAGGAAGCCTAGCACTGCAGCACTAACATTAACACTGTTCCTATACGATCTGCAGTGTCCCCAGAAACCTTATAAAACCACATATATTACAAATGTATTAGCTGTGCAAACAAGTTACCAAACTATGACTTAAGGGTTCTATTGATAGCAAACTGAACTTACCTTATTAAATGGTATGTTTTACAGAACAGCATGCTAATGCTAGCTAACGTCAGCCATTATGCTTTATTGGCTGGTGGGTTTTTACAGGATAGATACACTAGCTTACAACAATACTTACACTTTGCCTCTCATTTTTAAATCATTATGCTGAATAATTTGGAAGTTTACAAACCTTAGAAAAGAAGACTTACTTTACACAGCTGATGGAGCCGTTGACCAGCAGAGGCTGCTGCTGACAGTGGAGCTGAAGCCGCTGTGTGTCGCTTGAACTCCAAAGGAAAAATATTTGTGTCTAAACTGAGCGTCAAACACAACCGCGTTTTTCATTAGAGATGCAGCAGTGAAGTCCAGACACTTCACCTGCACAAAATGCATCCAAGCAGGAAGACAAACAGCCAGTTCCATTCTTCTTCACATTATTTATATCATTTGTTCACATATTTTATCCACACCGTCTCTTTTTTATTCTTACAAATACAAGTCTTTTCTACACATGTCCAATCTTGAATTTCTTTCTTTTAAAACTGCTATAAAATCACAAACCCGACGGAATCACAAACAAACCGAGGTGACTTTTAAATTTAACATTATAAGATGTTGAATAACATTACATTACTTTTAAAGCTAAGCGTCAAATTCTACAATAAAAAAAGGGATTGATAAATTTGTTTACAAATTAATGTATTAATCTATAAATAAGTATGTAGTACTTAAGTAGTAAATAAGTAATTCATTATTTGATATTTTATTGAGCAATAAAAAGAGGTATAAAAAGAATTTATAAATTAAATATTAATCATCAATAAATTTTTCAAATTTAGAAAGGTTACAGATTTTGTTTATTTAATATAGATTTATAAATCAATTTTCAAATGTATAAATGCCTTCTTATTGTACAACCACTGTCTGCCACAGGGTTGTATGCAAAGAGCTTCCAAGTACTTTCTTCACAACATTATCTAAATTGTAGTGTACAACCTATATTAAACACTAACTATATGAGTATAACACAGTCTAATAAAACACTACCAATAAGACCTAAACAACAACACCGTTCTGCCATAGCCCTGACAAAAACTGAACATTATACGGGATTCACTGGCAGGCTGTTGTATAGGGTTTTCTGTTTTATTGGATACTTAGGTTTGTGTTATCAAAGTGGAAAGTTAAGATCAGTGACACCCTATTTTTAGCTCATTAGTGTGAGCAGCTTATATCCTATTGATGTTAACTCCCTGAAATCTTTCGTTCAAGTCTGAAATAAAAAGCTTCATGATTGAGGCTCAGTGTGTGTTTTCTTTGACCTTTTCTCAGATAAAAAGCATTTCTAACTCGTCCCAACCAGCATTCTTGTGACAGTTGCTAGCTATGCCACAATTGCTGTAATGATTATGTAACCTTGAAGGAAGTGACCCCTCAACTCCTGTTCTACTGAAAAAACTGATTTAACTGGAAAATAATATGACTTCATGGGAACTGACACATTAAGTTTTAACACAAACACTTTTTTCAAAAGTTTCACTAAAAAAAAAACTCCTATCTGATTAATCTTAACTGATTATCCTGCTGTAGTTCAGTTAATTTCTGTTGTTTTGAAGTAGGGACAGAACAGATTTAAGTGATTTTCAGGGTATTTAAAAAGTGTGTGTGTTTAATTCTGTAGAAAAGCTGGAGGCTGTTCACCACTGTGTGTGTGTGTGTGTGTGTGTGTGTGTGTGTGTGTGAGCTGGTTGGGGTGAGAGAAAGGAGAGCAGCAGATGTAGGACCTCATATTGAAAAGTTCCTGGCAGCAGGAGACGAAAACAGGAGGGGAGGAGGGGAGGAAAAAAGGGCAGACAGAGATAGAGGGAGGGAGGGAGGGAGGGAAAGACGGAGGGAGAAATAAGGAGAATTGAGACAGCGCGACTCGAACACTAACCACAACCAGATGGGGAAGTAATGGGGAGCGACAGTGGAAAGAAACTGAGCGGAGTGAAGGAGAGGAAAACTTTCAAAGAGGAGGGAGGGAGAGGGGTGGGGCCGGGGGAAGACGGAGGAGGAGAAGTGGGGAGGGGGGTTGGTGAGGAATTTTTTCCTGAACCAACTTTTTCTCCCCTCCTTTGGAATGAGAGGGAGGCTTTATGTAATGGGTAGGATGCAATCATTGAGGCTGTTTGAGAGAAAGTCCCCAAGTAGTTCCTCTTTTACACTGAACACAGCTCTGCTGCCCCAGAGGACGACAACAATGATTCAAACACCCTCACTTTTTATATAACACACTCTTTCTCTCACGGATTTTGTAATTTAATTTTCCTATTGTTGTCAAGTTGACCTCTCCTCTCCCTCTTCTTCCTCACTACTCGGGCTGCGAATACAGACGGGAGGAACTCACTGGACTAATGTTGGATGTTGATGCTAGTTTCCAGACTTGGAGACATGACAGCGGCTGACTTCGTGTGGGAGTGCCAGCTTTTTATAGAGTCATATGATGAGCTGTGTGTCCTCTGTTAGACCTGGTCACAAGTCGACGGTGACCTGGGTGGGGCCCGGTAGCCTCCACTTCATCATAATGTATTTGACGCCAGTCTAATATTCTCACATCCAGGTTACTGAGGGTCAGCTCTGTACACTGTATGTGTGAATGTATCAGTAGAGCTGAGACAAGTCAATCTATCAATGAGTTGATCAACAGAAAATTACTACTGATCAATCTCTTATGACTTCTCGAATGTGAGGATCTGATCCTTTTCTCACAGAAACTTTTATTTGGGTTTTGAACTTTTTTGAAAAAAAAAAAAAAAAAAAAAAGTCTCTAAAACCAGCGACAAATGCTCTAAGTTGGCAACACCCCTAATAGAAAGTGTTTGTGCTAAATCATTTTGAAAAAGCAACAGCCAATGGGGAAACTCCAACACTTGGCTGGCCAACCAGTGGTGTAACTTGATCACTCACTCAGTCAGCCACAGACATTCGCATTTATGGGGGTGGCCCCGCCAAAAATCCAGGTTATCCCACACAGCTATGGGCCGTCGCCACCGGACACTCAGTAAAGCACAGATATCACGTTTAAGAAAGAATGAGTTTTAACTGGACAGAGCAGAAACATCAGCCTCACCAACAAACTCACATAACTGTCAAAAGTAACTTTTCAATGTGCTCTTCACATCTGTGCATCTGTTCATTATGAGTCATCTGAAGTCACCATAGTCCCACAAACTGTGGCAGGTGCACATACAGTGTTAACTATTCCCATCACGAGTGTTGTCCCTGGAGATAACTGACATACCCAGCCATCAGCTCAGGACTTGGTCGTTTTTATAGACCCTGGAATAACTTGATTTTTACAATTAAGATATTTGCTTGAATTCAAATGAATCACAAAGGTACTATTCAACACATTCATTGACAAAAATAAATGTTTTATGTCTGAAAAGTAAAATGTTATAAAAAAAAAAAAAAAAAAAAACTACTGTTTTTCGTCCACAACACCATTTTCCTTGAGCGTCCATGAGAGTTTGTTTGAGTGTTCACAATTCATTATGACTATCATGTAACCCACTGGCTGATGTGTATGTATGTAATTAATTTAATCCCTAAATAATGTGTCCCAAAGTAATAAACCTACCCATCAGACTCTTTATGTGTTTACAGGAGTGTGACTACTGTTTAAACTATTTATTAGGTCTTATAAATGTAAGATTTTATCTCTACTTTATTCATAATGAATATTACCTTCAAGTTAATCAATAGGAGATCCACTTATTCTTGTCATTAATAGTTAATGTAGACCTATCATTACACTGTTACTTGTTGCACTTGTTGTCATATTGTATTTGATAATATTAACGGAAGGGATATATCAATACTTGTTTCAAGACATAGCTGTGCTGTTTCAATGACACTTCTTTCTGGTTCCACGGTATTTCTTTAAGGTAACTTTTATCTGTGAGGTAACGGTGATGAGATAATCTACCAGGATATATTAAATGTCAACTTGTATTTTGAAATTTAGACTTAAGTCAGATCCTATGGTCTGAATTACCTAATATGGGCATGGACTGTATTTTGTGCTATATAGCATAGCCCCAAATGTTGTACCTTATCAGTAAAATAAAATGACAAACAACAGAGTTTTCATTATCAGATGGTTTCCTGCATCCATGTAGTTTTATAAGAGATACGATCATTTTGACCATAAAGCAGTGTTTAAAGTCTACAAATTTAGAGTAATTAAAAGGATAAAAAAAACTTTGGAGAGCACTTTCATCTGAATTAATGCACTGAGTAACAGTTAACTGGGGCTGGTTGGCGGACAAACAGCGGTGTCCTCGTGGAAGTAAAGCAAATGAACACAAATGCCAGAAACACCAACATTTTCCGAGTGTCGCACTGGACTGTGTCCACTGGGTTCGGCAGGAGATTTTCCATAAGATGCAGACAGTGTGAAGACGGACACAGAGACAGATGGAGACAGTACAGATGAGATACATACTAATGTAGAAGGTGTTGGGGGCTTGGGCTCCATCAAGTTCCAGCTCCAGCAGGTTGCTTGTCTTGGGATCATGTCTCAACCAAAGGGCCACACCCAGGATCACTCCTCCGGCAAGCTGCAACATACAGCACAACACAATGTAATTCTTTCAGTAGATTTTCAATACACTGAATCTGTTTTTAATGTTTTCTTTTTCAATTTCACATTTGCTGGGCACCGAGTGACACACAGTGAGGTCCTGAGCCACATCCACATCCAAGGACGTCAACAGTTTTATGATGTGCATCATCACAACAAAGTCACTGAGGGACACTACAATGCTGCCTGTGTTTTATATTTGCATTTTACACTATGGATGAAACAGAGCTGCCTGCTGCTAGTTAATGCAAAGAAAGCCTTGTCTTTGCTGAAACCTCCATTAAAAGGTGATGTTCATGTGAGGGCATTTCCCAAAATATTGAAAGAATAGGCTTTTACAACATAAAATACTTTCACTTTGTTTTTCATTTAGGGAAAAACAGCAGAGAGGTGGGATTTCACACTGTAAATGTCACACATTTAATGAGTGAGTTTACTGTTTAGCTGATCATTGGAGATTAGAAGATGTCAGACCCTGCCCAGTAGATGACAATAATAACTTGTCTGGCCTTCATGGAAATTAGGGCTGAATGATCATTTTGTTTTGTCTTGTATCAAATAAGCATGTTCCTATACATGTGGATTTGTGTGTGTTTGTGTGTGTGTGTGTGTGTGTGTGTGTGTGTATAGACTGGAGTGTCTTTGTAGCACCACAACGCTTAATTTATGGTCTGTGACACATTTTACCTTTATACAAAAAACTGCTGCTCCAGTGATGTGATGTGTGATTTTGTGGATAACATCATTTATTATGACTAAAGGAGGTGGTTAGCTTAGCTTAGCATAAAGACTGGAAGGGGGAACTAACTAGCCTGGCTCTCTCCACCTCTAACGTCCTCACAACATATTTTTTTCTTAGTTTACATTCTTCCAGTGACGTAAAAACAACAACTTGTTTCAGGGAAAGATATCTGCTTTAACTACATCCTGGTGAACAGGAAAGCAAATCTCCTCAAATGCAGAACTTTCATTTGAAGCCAAACTATTTAAAAGGCAAATGTCAGGGAACCCTCTCAGTTCAGCTTGGCCTAGCTCTCAGCAGGAAAGTGACTAAGGGTATTTCCCAAAAAAATCTGACTATTCCTTTATTTAAGTGAATATTTTAGAACACACAAGCTACAAGTTAACGTCTGAGAAACTCTTTGTTCAGTTTCATTCTTACTTCATCTGCTGACCAGTTTCCTAGGGGAAAATTGGCGCATTTTTCAACGTGTAACATTTGTTACTCAAATGTATTGTTCTTTAGGGAGGTTTACACTGACATGAGCCTTCCTGAGCACATTTGTTTGGCCAAGGAAAAAGAAATCCTAAATATAACCAGAGTTAGCATATACCACAGCAGACACACAGGAACAAGCACCGCCACACACAGCAGCAGTGAAATAAACCACCCACAGACACAACAGAAAGCCTTCCACTTCACATGGGTTTGGATTTTTATAAGACTCATGCTTCAGTACATTCAAAATATACAATGTCTATATCTAAATTAAACTTGCCCCAAAACCAGTTTCTGTGAAAAGGTCTGAACCAAAACAGGCTCTGCCATCCCATTCCTTCCCCATCCCTCTCCTCTCTAAGTGAGGTCCATTCCAGAGCGAAGGCCAGCCGCTGCCTAGCAACCAGATAAACACCATAACTGGAGAGAGTGCACAACACACACACACATACACACACCCACACCACATACCACAGAGTGACTTACTGACTTTAAGAGAACTCCCCACCTCCCTACCACGTGAATTACCACTAAGATGAGTCACTGAAATGCTTGGTGGTGGTTAACTCGGGTTTAAACAGATTTCTGAGAGGCTTTAATTTACAGCATCTGTATATAGAGGGAGAACCCAGACAGAGCATTGTTCAAATCCATGATTTCAACAACTGGTTTCAAGTAACTGGTCTGAAAACCAGCCCAAGCTAGCTCCACACTTACTAGGGTGTGGCTTACAAATATATCCACTGAGCACTTGTTTCTGTGAGACACTAATAAACGAGTTAATCACAAATCCATGAGATGGCCTTTGAGAAATAATCAAGGTATCTGTGGTGTTTGTGTCAGAGGCCCTGTTCAGACCAGGCATTAAAGGGATAGTCTGATTTGACGTGGGGGTTATGTGAGGTAATTATTCATAGATTGGGATCGGCGTGCTGTCAGTTTAGAGAAGCAGCAGGAGCACCGGCAGAGTGATGTACTGATGTGGGCAGGGTCAGCCACAAAAACACATTTAGCCCCTTTAAAATAATGCCTACTGAAAAAGCTAATATCAGTTGAAGTGCACACTTCATTTTGAAATTTTCACCACTTTATCTTGATGTCAAACAGCCCTTTCCTTTGGAATTACATCTTGTGAAGTGTTGAACGACCATATTCCTACACATAAGTGCATGTTTCCCATACATTATTTTTCTTACATTGACCGCCATGTACTGATTTTCTATTTCTAATTGGTAATATCTTATTTAATTGTAGAGCTGTGCACAGCGCATGGATTTGCTCAGCCCCTCCTAGCCTCACTCTCGCACTCTCTCTCTCACAAACAAAAAACATCAGTAGAAGAACTGTGTCTTGTTGCGGCACCTGAGGACTTATGGCATTCGGCATGCAAACAGAACCGAACAGAACAGAGTGACTGTCATGAAGCCAATGGTGGAGCCTTAACCAGCCTGTAATCTACTTTATGTTTCTGAACTGCTGATGGCTAAATAAGCTTTCCATTGCATCTACAGTTTACCTTAACTGCCCCTCTTCTTTTCACTTTCTGCATAATAAAGAAAATGGTATATAGAGTGGGCCAGTTACGACACACGATTTTATAGTAATCTACAGTAACGTGGCAGTGATTGGGAGCTGGGGTTGGATGGGCAGGAGGAGTTTCTACAGAAAAAGAATCGCTCTGACCAGCTCATTTAAAGAAACAGTAGAAATGAATGTAAACTAGGCCATTTTAATCTGTGTGAACTGAACTTTGAGCTCCTTCCGCGTGTGAACTTACACAACACTGTCAGCGTCTGTCCACCATGCCGGCCCTCCCTTTTACACAGATGGCCCACCCCCACCCCCCATTCCGTGTTGGGACCTTTCATACAGAGCGACAAGGCAGAGGAGTATCAGCACAACATTCCCGCTCTGAATAGGTTGTACCAAAAAAGGGGTAAAAACGGGTGCTTGCGCGATTTGCTGAGTGTTAGTGGATCTGTGTGCTCATTTCCAAGTGCAATATATCATTTGAATGATAATAAACTAATGGCAGTTCATTTGTCCTTTTGTATAACCTAAATAAACCTGACAGCAGTTGTGTAAGCAGAGTAATACCAGCAAGTGAATGAACAATAACATGCACACTTGCTGTTTATCTGCTAAAGCTCGTCAGAGGAAGACAGCTAATGAGCCAGTAACGTACGGTGTTGCATTCATTCTGCCTAAATGATGTAAAAGTCAATATATTCATGGCTCGCATGTTTACAGTTTCAGTCAATACAGTGGAAACACACGTCTTTTATTACAACAGTAGTTTCTCAGAAAAGTCTGAGGTTGAGCCATAGCCCCTTTTCACTATTAATGCTAACCCCAAAGCTAATGTCTGATCATTGCATTTCAAAACAACTAGAACTGGTAATAAAGGATGGATTATTAGACCAGTGGAAAATATTAGAAATGAACATGTACACAGTGAGAAAAGTAAAATGATGGTGGAAGCTCATTCAGACAATCATCATGTCTTTTGTCAGAAAATTACAACTGAGAGACAAGAGGACAATCACAAAACACACAAGGAGTTTGATTAATCTCTTATCTTAATTACATTTTTTAATCTTTCATTTTGAGTAATTTGCCTCCACGTGTTTGTTGCTTGTTTTATTTTATCCTTATGACGCATTTTCCAAACTTATTTTGTTAAGTGCTGTATAAATAAACTTAATCATTAATATTATATTATAAGTTGTCTATGGCAGGTAGTTAATGGGTTTACTTAAAGGCTAACACCCACTAACACAGCAGATAGACTACCTGCTCTCTTTTTACAATCACTTTGGCCTCAGATGTCAAAGACATTATCGAACCATATGTTGTTCATTCACCCACAGCATTTGTTGTGACACATTTCACACTAAGTAAAGTGTCTAAACACCTGGGTCATTATCATCATGTTCACCACAGTCTGCTAACAGTATGGGCGTTACTAAGGCTGCTTCTGACTTATGATAATATGAAGCAAGTTTAAGTGCGTGGAGGACAAGGAAACAGTTTCAACAGTTCATACTGAGTCCTCACACTGAGTCACTCTCAAGTTGGAATAAGTGCAACAAAGAAATGAGAATGAAACTCTGAAGTTGATTCCGATATCACCACGTGTGAGATCAGCACAGCCCAAGTTTTCCTGCCAGCTTTTCCCCTCAGAGACTATTTCTGCCACCAGCCCAGAGGACATGGGGTTGTAGAATGCTGGGCATGCTGGGAGTGAGAGGGAATGGTTCTTGAGCGGGGGGGTGGGGGTGGGGTGGGTGGGTGTTCCCATAAAACTCCTCTACCACCACACAGACGCTCCCCTCCCCCCCAACGGATCTCATCTCTTAACCCTCTCAGTGTCCAGTGTGATTTATAGAAACAGGAGGTCTCCTCTTTAAAGAGCCGGCCTCCATGGTGAGCCGCTCAGTAACCGCACAGCCCGGTCAGAGTATCTTTACAGATGTCCGCCCTGACAGATCCTTTCTGAAAAGCTCTTTAGGGCAGCCAATAACACTAAACGGGCTAATGTGTTAAAAAGAGCAGGAGCCAGAGGGATGCTGCAACACAATCACAGTAAAGTCACTTTTTACTAGCACTTCTTATCAGTGTCTAGTTTGTGACTTACACACCCCACATATGACCAAAAAGTGATGTACGCCAACGCTGTCCAAATGAACATGGCTTCCAAACAAAATAAAGTATTTCCTCGGGATGTCCTGATTAAGTTTTTTTTGGCCCCGGTCTCG